CTCATTTGGTGTATATTTAATGATAGACATAATTGTGTTACATGCTAATTAAGCTTAATTAGTAAGTTCTTGTGAATTACTGTAATTAGTGGGGCTGCTTTCCTGCCAAAGCAAATTTTCAGTTCTCTTTTTACTTTATTAGTTACCTAGTATTTATAATCAGGATCAGTTTAAATCATATTTCATTTTGTGTCATACGCACAAATCCTTATATATATTAAGAAGCAAACTCTTGAGTCTGTACTCCTGAGCAGCTAAATTTCCCTTGCCTCAGGGCTTTTGTTGTTGCAAAACTCTCAACCCCTACCCATCCCTCCTAATCCCATTCAGCCCTCATCTACTCACACTTGAGGGAGATTTATGTATAACATTTAACATTCATTAACCAGCAAATTTTTTTTTTTTTTTTTAGCTGAGCCATCCTGCTACCTGTTGGCAGCTCAACGGCTGCTCAGCTCGGGCTGGACTCGAAGCGCTGTTGCTCAGAGCTCAAACTCTTCAGCAAGCTCTTAACCAACTGAGCCACTCGGCCGGCCCCCAGCAAATATTTATTGAGCACAATATGCCAGAAATTGAACAAGGCACTGGAAGCATACACAGTGGTTGGCAAAGCAGTCCTGACCCCTGCCCTCATGGAGCACACAGACTAATGGGATAGGTGAAGCCTAGATTGGAGTGGGGGAGGTGCGGAGGAAATTGGCACACCTATTTTACTCTCCCACTAAGCTACAAGCCTAGCCTTTATCAGGGTCTCCATTTGCCTTTTTTTCCATGTTTGGTTCAGCACTCAGGCAGCTGTCATAGATTGTACCCCTGCTACCCTCTAGCACGGGATGCTGAGGGAGATAGTGTCTAGGGCCTATAGCCTGTTATTGGGTAAGTGAGAAGGAGCTGAGGTTAGGCAGGACTTAGTGAGGTGAAGATATTGAGGAAGGAAGTCCCCCCAAAAAAATAGCATTTGCGGAGGCCCTGAAACAGAAAAGAGCTTGGCAGCTCATTTAGTGTTGTTGGAGGGGTTGCTGCAACAGGAGAAATGGCTAGAAGAATGAAAGGTGGAGGGTCCTGGAGCCAAGTGAAAAACTTTATCTTGAAGGCACTAAGAAGCCATGGAAAAGTTTTAATGACATTTCTCTGCCTCTTGCATCTCAACCCATTATTTGCCAGGATAGGCCCTCTTATCTTCAGGTATAGACATGCTGTGCCAACCGGTATCCTTTCAGACTGAAACACATGGGCAGCTTAGCAGAAACCATGCTCAGTAGCATAGAGTGGAAAGAGTATGAGCTCTAGATCAGAATGCTTGGGTCTGTATGACACTGAGTACATTTCTTAACCTCTCCAAGCCACTTTCCTTTTCTGTACAATTGGTAATGTAACATTTAAACCCCTCATCAGGTTGTTTTAGGGTCAGAAATAACAAGTATAGTGCCTATCACTGGCACTCCATGGATTGTAGTTATCACTGTTTGATCATTGCTTTCTTGCTAACACAAATTTCAAACTCCTCTTTGGGAGTGAAATCACAGAATCAGATATTGTCAAATTGTGACGAAACCTTAAATGTCTGTCTGTCTCTCTATATGATGCTTACATCCCTTCTGCAACACTGACACTTAGTTGGTTTGTTGTCCAATATTACTTATAACATTCAGAGGCAGGAAGATCATTACTGTCTAAAGCAGCCATTCCATATTTGGGTCCTATTACAAAGTTCTTTTCTTGGGTTCAATCCAAATCTGCTTTCCTGTACCTATCACCTGAGACCCCTGTAGCCAGAATGCCTCTTCCATGTGATAGCCCTTCAGATGCTTACAGAAATTATAATGTATCCATCACCACTCACCTAGAGTTGAAAAGCTTTCTTTTTGCCTAACAGCAACAATAAAAAGGGTCAATTCATCAAGAAAACACAACCCTAAAACATACATGTATCTAACAATAGAGCTTAAAAACATGAAGTAAAAGGTGTTCGTGGGAGATTTTAATAATAATAACAACTATCATTTAATGAGCACCCACACTATACTTGGTACTATAGATACACAAATAAGTCAATCAATTCCTGTCAATTGAACAAAGTCAGAAAAGTAAATAAGTGTAAAATAACTTTACAGATACTGAGATGAAGGTCTGTGCAGGAAAAAAGCAGGGGTTTGGGGACACCAAGGGAACAATCATCTTTATGAAAGTATGAAAGGGGTCTGCCTCTTATAAGAGATGACACAAACTGCACCCCAACAATTGAGTAGGTAATTCACTAGCCCCCCCTTATCCGCAGTTCCACACTCCGTGGTTTCAGTTACCCACAATCAACCATGGCAATCTGAAATACTAAATAGAAAATTCCAGAAATAAACAATTCTTAAGTTTTAAATTGTGCGCTGTTCTGAATAGTGTAATGAAATCTCATGCAGTCCCACTGCATCCAGCCTGGGATGTGAATCATCCCTTTATGCAGCGTATTCATGCTATATATGCCACCCCACCTGTTAGTCAACTAGCCATCTCGGTTATTAGATCAACTGTTGCTGTGTCACAGTGTTGGTGTTCAAGTAATCCTTATTTTACTTATATTGTTACAATTGTTCTATTAGTTATTGTTAATCTCTTACTGTATCTAATTTACAAATTAAATTTTATCATAGGTAATGTATATATAGGAAAAAACATAGTATATACAAGGTTCAGTACTATCCATGGTTTCAGGCATCCACTGGGGGTCTTGGAACATGCCCCCTGTGGATAAGGGGGGACTACTGTACCCACACTCAACTGGACTTATCCATTTGTGGTATTTGTTATAATATTATTTTAGAGGCTTTAGTCACACCAAGTATTTAAAACAGCCACTGTCAGTAACTGCAAATGCATTCCTACAAGAAAGGCTAATTTTTTCTGTTAGCATTCTTTACAAAGCCTCTTTTAGAGCCAGAATAATGGAAACCAGGCAAGGAAGAAGAGTGGAAATATTGTGATTTGCTGTAGCTGCAAATGGATGGCAAATATTGGAAAGGAGGGGCCTCAACTAGTCTTTCCTAAGCACTGAAATAGAAGAGATGAGGCATACTGAGTTTGTCATGGCCCTACAATACAGGAAGGCCACAGAAGATGGGGAGCAATAAAGCGTTTGCCCCGCTGACCTATTGCAAGTAGTGTAAAAGCAGCATAATATCACACTCTGATGCCTGTTTCTTCTAGTGGGGTCCTGTGCCGGACGCCAGGGTAAAGATGACCTGTCTGGGAGGCTGAGGCCTGTGCACAATGTGATCCAACACGGAGAGAGCTCAGGAATCTTGCGAAAGCACTATCTGATGTGCCCTGGAAATGCTGAGCATAGATACTTGGTCAGCTGAAGCTAGTGGCCCTTCCTAAAGGAGGCAGTATATGTAAGAATAAATACAACAACGAAGTCTTCCCAACCTCCCGAAGTAGGACCTTCTCCATGAGAGCCAAAGAGAGCGAAGGCAGTGACCCTCCAGCCGCCTTCTTCGTAAAGAAACAAATGAGAGAAGCAGAAACACAAGAGTAAAATATCAGTGGAGACTGAAGCTAATACTTTTCAAGTTTGTTAAAGAAGAAGCCCTTGAAGGAACAGTTATTAAACAAAGGATCTTGAAATGTTCCCCCAAACAAATAATGAGATTGTGTAGAAAAGATTCTTTCACAGTGAGTAAGCCTTCCACTTTTAAAAGTTAACAAGGAGGATAAAGCAAGTGTTATAAACAAAAGGTACTGATGGAGATAAGTCAGGAAATAGGAGTGTTGAGTCCCATCCCCACTGCCCAGCTGAGGGGACTGAAGTCCAGCGAGTCTTGGAATCCAGAGACACAGCTAGGACGCCATTCACCCAGCAGGGCACAGCACTGCAGCCGGTGGTGAGTTTAGCACACACACCCCTTCAGCCCTTTCTGAACTGACTTCACAAATTAAAGGAGCTTACTCCAGAAGAATCTTCATTTCACCACGATACTTCATCAAGGGATTGTCTACTGTGCTGGGGCATTGGCACAAGCCCCTCATTTGCTGGGCTACCTTAAAATATATATATATTTCCCTTCAGGCATTATCATCATCATCATCATCATCATCATCATTATTGAGACATTATATTGAGACATTATCAAGACATTCACATACCATAAAGCTTACCCTTTTAAGGTATATAATTCACTGATTTTTAGTGTAGTCACAAGGTTGTGAAACTATCACCATTATCTAATTCCAGATCATTTCATCTCCTCATAAAGAGACTGCATACCCATATTCCCCTCCCCAAAACTCCTAGCAACCACTAATCTACTTTCTGTCTTTATAAATGTCCCTATTCTGGACATTTCATATAAATAGAATCATACAATATGTGGTGTTATGTGTATGGCTTCTTTCACTTAATGTTTTTATGATTCATCTATGTTATAGCGTATTATCAGTACTTCATTTTTATGGCTGAATAATATTCTATTCTGGTTATACTACAATTTGTTTATCAGCTGATGGACTTTGGGTTGTTTCCACCTTTTAGCTATTGTGAATAGTGGTACTATGAACATTCATGTACAAGTTTTGTTTGTTTTTTTGCTTGTTTTTTGTGGGCAAATGCTTTCATTTCTCTTGAGTATATACCTAGGAGTGCAATTGCTGGTTCATGTGGAAGCTCTACGTTTAGCCTTTTGAGGAACTACCAGATTGTTTTCAAAGGGCTGAACTATTTCACATTCCCGTCAACAGTGTATGAGGGGTCCAGTTTTGCCACATCCTCGCTAACACTTGCTATTACTGACTTTTTTATTATAGCTATTCTGGTAGGTATAAAAGGCTATCTCCTGTGGTTCTGATTTTCATGTCCCTAATGACTAATGATGTTGAGCATCTTTTCATGTGCTTGTTGCCCATTTGTATGTCTCCTTTGGAAAAATGTCTGTTTAAATTCCTTGCCCATTTTTTAATATACATTTGGGTTACTAGACCTTTATCAGATACATGTTTGCAAAGTATTTTCTCCCATTATGTGGGTTTAAATTTTTGAAGTGTCCTTTGAAGCACAGCTGAGCTGCTTTTAACAAATATTAAAACCTCTTAAATTCGGAATATGAATTGGTGTCTGAATTATACTTTTAAATTTAATAAGCATTATAGTTTTACAAGCACTGTTTGCAGATCAAACTTTGAGGTTTCCAAACTAAGAGTCTGGAGTTCATTATGATAGCTATTGCTTTTATAGAATCTATATGCCAGGTGCTGTTTGGGCACTCTGCATGTATTAACTTATCTAATTCTGACAACGATCCTATGAGTAAAGACTTATCATATGCGTTGTGCAGATAAGAAAATGGAGGCAGAGGGAGGTTGAGGAATTTGCCAGAAGTAAAAAAGTAGCAGAGATGGGCTCCAGATTCCGTTCCTCTTAACCACCTGCGACACCGCCAAGGTGGAATTGAACCATTTCAAAGAATGCCTAACCCCTCACTTTGGGTTTGAAATAATAGTGCCTTTATGGCGTCTGCACTCTGGACATTTTCCCTCTCTTTACCAAGCCAGAAACTAGTACCGCCCTTCCGGCTGTCTTCATTTCTCCCTCCCCTCCCAGTGTGGCTTCAGTACCCTCTCTCTGCTTCACCCGTCAGAGGCTTTAGTGTTTGGAAGTAATTGCGAAGTTGCCTGCAGTCCCCCAGGTGGAGCAGCCTAAATTTCTAGCGACCAATGGGCGTCCAGGAGCAGCGAATTCAGCCCAATGAGGCTCAAAGCTGAGCCGTGGGCGGAGCCAGCAGAGGGGGCGGGAACGGAGTCCCCAGGCGGTGCCTACTGTGTGCAGCACGGGCTGCACGCACTGAGCGGAGCCATGAGTTGGACCTGCCCGCGTTGCCAGCAACCTGTTTTCTTCGGTGAGGCCCGGGCTGAGGAGGGGGAGAAGATGGGGATAGTGTGAGCCGCTGGGTTCCCTGAGGACGCGTGGAGCTGGCCACGGTGTGGTCCTAGACTCCCCTTCCACCTGTGGGGCGCGTGACACTCGGGCGGGATGGGCGGGGCTAAGGGGGAAAAGGAGGGTGCGTGCTGCGCAGCTTGGCCTGGCTCCTCGCAGCCCGGTTCCACCTTGTTCCCCACAGCGGAGAAAGTGAGTTCGCTGGGCAAGAACTGGCACCCCTTCTGCCTGAAATGTGAGCATTGCCACAGTGTCCTGTCCCCAGGAGGGCACGCAGAGGTGAGACCTGGCCAGGGCCCATACCCCTGTGTCTGTCACTGTCCCCCAGGCACCAGCCCAGTTGTGGCCTGGAGACCCACCAAAACCAACCTTAGTAGCCCACTCCCAAGACCACCTACCTGGTGGGCCCCGCACCAGCCAAGGTTTTGGGAGCCTGAGTTGTGCCGGTGGACCCCATGCCTTTTGAGGGGGAGGAGAGGGCAGCAACACTGCTTCCTGACGTGCCCGTGCCCTGCATCCCTGACCACAGTGGCAATTCTGGCATGCCAGCCCACCCCTGATCTTTCCCAGCCCCATCAGCCCAGGCCAGTGGACAGACACACCTGGCAGCCTGTTAGGGGGGAAGGCCCGTGGGGCACAGGAGTGTCCCCCCTCCACTGGCCCCGAGCAACCCCCTTTCCTCTGCTTGTGCCTAGCACAACGGGAGGCCATATTGCCACAAGCCATGCTATGGGGCTCTCTTTGGACCCAGGGGTAAGTACCAGCCTAGAGGGGGACTAGGACAGCAGAACTTGCCCTGTGGCTGGGAGCTGGACACGCAAGCCTGACCTCCCCTCTTCTCTCTGCAGGGGTAAACATTGGTGGTGTGGTCTCCTACCTCTACAACTACCCCATTCCTACTCCTGCCAGCACCACTCCCCTCAGCCCCAGCAGCTTCAGCCCCCCTAGGCCCAGGACTGGCCTCCCCCAGGGCAAGAAAAGTAAGTGAGGTTGGGCACCAGCTACCCCTCCTCCTGACCTTTCCCCAGGCTGAAACGGGGGATCGGGTGACAATCGCCTACACAGTCCAACGCCTGACTTTCCTACAACTTTTGTTCATGGCAAAATCTTCCCTTATACGTGACCCCTTTTTTGATGTTCCCTAATGTCAGCTGCTGAGCTCAGAGGTAAATTGGGCAGATGACATTACCACCCCCGTGTTACTGGTGAGGAAACTAAGGTCCGGAGAGGGCAAGTGACATTGTGCAATCACAGCTAGTCAGAGGCAAAGCTGACCTAGAACTCAGCCTTCTCCCAGGCCAAGGCCATGGAAGGAATGACTGACGAGTGAGGGGTCATTGAGACGGGGCCAGCCCCTCACATTCTTCCACTTCTCCCCTCTCTCTGTTCCTTCCTCCCATCCCCTGCAGTGGGCAATGACACCATGCTCCCCAACACCTGACACCCCTGCCCCGGCCAGCTCCTATATCAGCTCGGGTTTCCTGAGGATTGAGTTGCTGACAGGGTTGGGCTGGTGGGCACCTGAGCCCCTGGGAGAGTGAGAAGGAAGCAGGTGGTCCCCACTGTAGATAAGAGATGGGCCAGGGGACTCAGCTCTGCCCTAGGAAGGCATACTCAGGGATGCACGTGGCTGTTGGATAGGACAGTGCCATATGCAGGCTCATACTGGGGGGACCCTATTTAGGCCTGGCCCCCACGTCAGCCTTAGCCAGGGCCTCTTCCCCTTAAAGGTCCTCCCCACACGAAGATGTTCACTGGGGAGACCTCACTGTGCCCCGGATGTGAGGAACCTGTCTATTTTGGTAAGTGACAAGGGAAAGCTTGGGGAGGGGAGTGCAGGATGGCCTCAAAGGGCAGGAAGGTGGTGCAGGGCAGGTGGGTCTCCGTGCCCTGCTCCTAGGGCTACTACCTCTCTCCACCACCAGCTGAGAAGGTGATGTCTTTGGGCAGAAATTGGCACCGGCCCTGTCTGAGGTGCCAGCGCTGCCGGAAGACCCTGACTCCGGGGAGTCATGCTGAGGTGAGCAGGGAAGGACTGGGTGGTTCTGTTGGGAGGAGAGATGATAGAGATGGGAAAAGGGCCAAGCTGAGAAGGTTCTCTTTCTCTCTGTGTCCCAGCATGACGGCGTCCCCTACTGCCACATCCCCTGCTACGGCTACCTGTTTGGCCCCAAAGGTGGGCAGCCCCACCCCAGGCACTGGGCCTAAAGTATGGCATGTGGGTCTGTGTGGACAACTTCCCCTGTAGTCAGACGTACCCCAGGTCCCTCCCATTCCCTCCAGCCCTCAGCCCAGCACCCCCACAGTCCCAAGGCCTTTGGTGATGGGGCTCTCTCCCTCAGGTGTGAACATTGGTGATGTGGGCTGCTACATCTATGACCCCGTGGAGATAGAATGAGATATCCCAGGAGAGGACACCCTAACTCGGGCCTTCCAGCATCCCTCCATGGTCCAGTGGGAGCTACAGAATTCTCCAGTCCCATGGAGATGGGAGAAGGTAGCGTTCCGGCTGCCTGGGCCTCAGCTCCATGGTAGACCAGGAAGTCTAGACTTTCTCTGTCAACTCCTCCTTTTTGCATTCCTATCTGGTCAGGGCACTTGGGCCACCCTATGTTGAAGGGTAGCCTCCTGGCCTTCCCAATCGCTTTCCCCGCCAAATTCTGGAACTTCAAGGTACTCATAAAACTTGTGTTTATTCTGGCTTCTCCAATAAAAATGTTGGCTCCCATGCTTTCAACTCTTCTTTGGGCATGAGGCCTAGACAGTGGGTTGGAGGGTGGGGAATGTGGGGGTAGAGGAAGCATTACCCCGCAAAGTGCCAGGGAGAGAGCAGGCCAGCCAGGGAACAACAAGTCTGTTCTCCTGGTCGGTCCCCTGGCCCTGGCATTGGGCAGCCCCGAGTATCACCCAGTGGAACAGCGTGCCTACCAGCTCTGTTGGTACCAGAAGTCATCATAGGACAGTCCCTTTTTTAGCACCATCTCTAGGAGCATCTCACTGAGCATGACAACAGATAGATCCCATGGTGAGGTCTGTTAAGGGACTTCATTATCCATTTGACAGATGAACAGACTGAGGCCCAGAGGGAAAGCCACATGCCCAAGGTCACACAGCAAATTGGTGGCAAAGCTTGGGATCAGAATCCAGGGCCAGGCTCGATGGCTTCCCATCCAGGGCTCATTCCACAGCTCCATCCTGCTGCCCCAACCCAAGGGGCACCTTTATTTACAGAATTGCCCCAGCCATGAGAGGTGTGCCAGAATTCTCCGGCAGCCCACTGCATTCTAGGAAGTCACCCTGTTGCTGGAGGCTAGATGAGCACAGAGAGGGGCATTGGTGGCAACGCCTGCCCTGGGCCAGGAGCTCAGTGCCCCCCTCCCGGGTCACAGGGCCTGCCCTGCTCTCGCAGCCCCTGATGCAGAGCTTCTGTGCAGGACCTGCCCCTGATACCCCTCAGTCGTGGACCTGCTTCATGGGCATCTCTTCCTCCTGTAGACTGGATGGGGCACTGGGGAGGAAGGAACCATGAGCAGTGGTTTAGCCCCATGCCCACCACCCAGCCTGCCCCAGCAGGGCTGGCCTAGGGCTTCTCCAACTCCTGGTATACAAACATGTCCTCCCACAGGTGACTCCCACATGTCTGTACATGTCCATGATTTGCAGGCATACCTGAGTGTACACACATCCACCTTTCCCTGGCAATCTTGGGTATTGGGGTACACACATGCATGGACTCATGTACACTTTTATACATGCAGTTTACGTACCTCAGGTCATGTACCTGTGCTCGCTCACTTACATGCACCAGATACACACACATGAAGACATGTTCCTCTCTGAATCCTACCTAAAGCATTGGGACCTGAGCACCCATACCCACATGCATGCGCACACACCTCTTCCTCTCCACATCCTGGATGGTCTCTGGCAGCTGTTCATGCCTTGTCTCTGGCAGCAGGAGGGCAGTGCAGGCAGCCAGCAGGGCAGTCCCCCCATAAGTGAGCTTGGGCAGTGGCGGCCATACTCCATCCAGCAAGGTCGCCAGTGGAGCCAAAGAGCCTCCCAGCCGGCCCACCAGTGAGGTCAGTCCCATCCCTGTCTGTCTGTTCAGAGAAAAGATGGATGAGAGGGTTAGTGCTCACACTTATTTGGGGCCATGCCTCACAGGGCTTCCCCCTTGGACTAGCAGTCCCTGGTATCCCCTTTTCTCCCCAGACAACTACTAAAGCTGGGGCTTCTTTCAGGTGGTCTTCCCACACATCCCCGGACGCGGGGCCCCTAAGCCAGCACCCACCAGGGGATGGCGCCCCCATTCTGACAGAGTGCCAATCAGGTATCACTGAAGGAAAATAAATGTCACCAGAAAGGGGACAGGGAAAGAGTCATGTGGAAGGCAGAGGGTCAGCAGCTCATAGGGACCCCGCCATGTAGTTAGCGGAGGTGCACAGCTTTCTCAGCACACCCTGCTGCCTGCAGGTTTCCTCCCCGCCTACAAATAGCTATGAAGCCGAAAGGGCCCCAGGCCTAATGGCCAGAGGCAACCCCCATGGCAGCGCCGCCTGGGCTGGAGAGAATGGGATGGGATGGATAGATGGGGCTTTTTGCAACTGTTCTCTTTTAAAAGAGACCCAGAGAAGATGTCTGACCTCATTCAGGGTCACTTAGTAAAGAAGATAAAATGCCCCGCCTTCTCACAGACTGAGGCTGAGGCTCTGATTAGCTCTGTATCCCGGGTGCAGTGCAAGGACTAGGTGAGAGGGACTGGGGTGCAGTGTGTGTATGTGGGGGTGTTGGTAGATGTGACTAACAAGCCCTCTCCCCAGGTGGGTTGCCTGGGACCCAGGCTCCCCTCACCTGAGCACAGTAGGGTACAGCTCCGATGTGAACAGGATGACAGTGGTGAAGGAAGATTCAGAAAAACCTTTCCCTATCACCGCCAGGGTGGTGCTCCACGACACCATCTCTGAAGGGAAAAGGGGTTCAGGATAGGAGGTGCAGCCTCTGGAGAGGGCGGGACTTAATGGCCCTGAGGTTCTTGGCCAGGAGGCGGGGCCTCTTGGAGTGGACTGGGGGGGGGCAGGGGG